CAGATCTGCCCTCACAGAGGGAGAGCTTGTACCTGAAGGCGGGCCGGGGGGGCTCTGCAACTTACCTGGCTGCTTCTTGCTCCTCGTGGCCCAACTGAGGGCTGCTGGGAGCAGGGGGCGAGGCTTGTTGCATGTGCCCCACCCCCTGGACTCCTTACTGCCGGTGCTCCGCTCCTGTGCGCTCTTGCAGGAAATGACCCCCGGAAGTCTCCTGATGAAAGCACTTTTCCTCTCACCCCCAGCTTACTTGGCTCTCTTTCAAAGGTTGACATAGACCAGTCACTTCCTCAGCATTTTGTTTTGAATCATGAGCGTGTTTCTCCATTTATTTATTTTTTTAAATAAAGGCTATATCGTCCTCAATTTTGCAAATTATACTTCTTTGGAAAGAGAGGGAAGTAAACTGTGGTTATGCTATTTCCGCATGCTAGAAACCCCCACAGGGTGTGAAGATGTGGTTCTGGGCACACGCAGTCCAGCTTCCTGAGAATCTTGGCTTTCGTTAGAAAGCATCAAGTGTCTAACCTTGACCCCACTGCAAAGGTATGCTCAAAAAGGTTTCCAGGGCTTACTCAGATGCCGGTGGCAGCTGAACAGGATTTGTAGGGGGTGTGAGCATGATTCACAAAACCGATATGAGTTGTGCAAAATAGTAAAAATTATCCAAATGTACTTAATGGACATCATGTAAAGGTAAAGGTTCCCTTGCTCAAAAGCCAGTCGAATCCGACTCTAGGGTTTCCAAGCCGAAGAGCCAGCGCTGTCCGAAGACATTTCTGTGGTCGTGTGGCCAGCATGACTAAACACCAAGGTGCATGGAACGCTGTTACCTTCCCACTGAAGTGGCACCTATTTATCTACTTGCAATTTCTTGCTTTCGAACTGCTAGGTTGGCAGGAGCTGGAACTAGAGACGGGAGCTCACTCCGTCATCCGGCACCTGGGTCTCAAACTGCTGAACTACTGACCTTCCACAGCCTGCAGTTCAGCGTCTTAACCACTTGAGCCACTGCAGCTCCTAAGGGACATCATGTATGCAGGTTTATTTACTGAATTTGTTCATCGCCCAATCCCTGCTGAGGCAGGGCTCTGGGCGATGTACAACGTTCATAAAAACATATCGAGACAAAACAGTTCAAACATTAATGACACATTTCAGACAACTCAGACAGCGTGTACTAATTGATCCAATTTCAGACTGCGGGCTGCTCTGCGGGCAGGGGGGAGGAGGGCAAGACAGATATGAGAAGCGTCCAGAGCGGAAAAGGCTGCCAGCTGGGGTGGAAACAGTTGCTGTCCTCAGCCAAAAACCTAGCGGAGCATCTCTGCTTTACAGGCCCTGTGGAATTGCATCAGATCCCACAGGGCCCTGGTGCTGTTCTGCAGAGAGCTCCATCAGGTTGGGGCCAGGACCGGAAAGGCCCCGGGCATGGCCCTGGTCGAGGACAGCCGGAGAGCTTCCACAAGGCACACAACCCAGTAAACAAGTTTCTTGAAATGCAATTTGATTGGCCACTCAGTTGTTGCAAGTGCTAGGGGAAAAAAAATACTGTGATTAAGTTCTGTTCTATCACTTTTGTTTCCTGTTTGGGAGCTTCCTGGAGGCATCTGTGCAATGCTCTTACAAACGGCATTTTCCCAGACCAGTAAAATTCAACATTAAGCGCACAGAGAGCTACCGGTATAGACCCTACACACACCCCTTTACCTTGTTAATGATGCCCCCATTTTCGACGACTCCTTCTGCTCCGACTATTACCAGGTCGACCTTTTCCATGATGTAGCTATTGAGCGAAAGACAAAAAGGGGGGGGGGGGAACAGCAGTCAATCGCAAGAGTGGGGGATGGGATTCACAGGTCCTTACTGCTAGTGGAGGTGCTTTCCTGTAGCCGAGGGAGCCCTTCCCTGATTCGACACTCTCAGAGGGCTCCATCCGCTGGAAGAAATCACTTGCGCTGGAGGGAATGGATCTGTGAAATCCAACCGATGTTCCCTCTAAGCTGTGGAGTCTTGTGAGAAAAATTCTACTTTGTGAGCTGCTGCCATTAAAGTTGTGTCTCAGCAATTTGGCTACTGCACAAATTAGTTTGCTCTGGAGCCATCCTTCCTGAGCCAAGACAAAAATAGGTGAGCCAGAGGCTAAAAAACTCTTGAGCTAGCTCACACTAACTCAGCTTAGAGGGAACACTGGATCCAACCCACGAAGTAGTTTTTGTGGTTTCTTGTAATCCCCAGAACCCTGCTTGCACGCACTGATCCGGCCCCATGTGCTACAGCTGCAAAGGAATTCGGGGTCCGTCTTCAGCCACCAGACGGAAGGGATGACGACGGCGTCGCGGGCTCTTCAGACAGGAAGGTGGTCTCGTGTGTTCTCCGAGAGGGTCGGGGCTGCTCTTTGAACTGCAGACCGTCACCCCACCCAGTTCTCTCTCTCAATCTGTTCTGGGAGCTCCTTTTCATTGCAAAGGTTCTGCGGGAAGGAACACGCGTGCGCTTACCCAATAGCAGCATCCAGGATTACAGTCACAGGAATACCAAGCTTAGTGAGGGCCTCGGCCATCTTTTGCCTGTGTTCGAGAAAGGAGGAAGGAGAGAGAACTCAGACATTTTACACATTCCATATCTTTATGCTTATGTATGTTACAGAGGCAGTGTGGCATAGTGGGTGGATTGTGGGACTGGGATCTGGGGGACCCAGTCACACATAGCCTGGTGTACCTCACAGGGTTGTTGTGAACAGTGTTCCCTCTCAGCTGAGTTAGTGTGAGCTGGCTCACAGTTTTTTAGCCTCCAGCTCACAGATTTCTGTCTTAGCTCAGGAAGGATGGTTCTGGAGCAAACGAATTGATGCAGCAGCCAAATCGCTCGCTCACAATTTTAATGCCAGTGGCTCACAAAGTAGAATTGTTGCTCACAGGACTCCACAGCTTGGAGGGAGCACAGATTGTGACGATAAAATGGAAGAAAGGAGGGGGATGTAAGCCACTCATTGGGTCCCCACTAGGGAGAATGTCGGGGTATAAAGGAAGTAAATTAAAATGAAGGAGGAAATTATACATTGTGGGGTCTGAACAAAAACCTGCGAGGCATGCCCAGGTCAAAGTTCAGGCTCCCCAGGTCAAAGTTCGAGTTCCCACCAAGACACTCTCACCGGGAGATTGGCTTGGCAAAGAGCACGGGGTTTTTCTGATTCTGCACGAGACTGCTCAATTACTCTAAGAACACAATGAATTACAGAGAGCACAAAAAGCTTTGCAACATTCATAAGATAATCTTGCCTGTGAGAAGAACATTCTGTGTTTCTAGTAGAAGCTTCTAAAAGTAACGATTTCACTGTGCAAAGAGGAGGCTTGTTTTTCCCTCTAAAATAAAACACTGTGCAGCCTGTCAGCTGAGAGCAGTTAGAGTACAGAGAGAGAGACAGAGAGACAGTGGAGCTGTCGTCGCCTCGGGGCTTGGAGGAGAAGCTTAGGTACTGCTGGTTCAGATTTGAGATATTTATATGGTCCATTTCAGAGAATTTCCAAACTCATGAAGTGATGTAAACTCGGCACTGAGATTTCCTTTCGAAGCTACAGATCCCCCAGCCTCAGGCTTGCTGGGTGGCCTTGAGCAAGCCCTCTCTTCATTTCAGCCACATGCAATAGGGGCCTACTATTGGCCTACTCTACAGGGCTGTTGTAAGAACTGTAGCAAGATGATGTATGTCAAGTGCTGTGAGCACAAAATACACTACACAGATGAATTTCTTCCACAAACATAAACGTAATTTCACCAGGAAAGAAGAGAGTTTAAAAAGAAATAGGACATGGCTTCCTTGTCCTGAAAAACACAAAAGGCTTTTCATCAGACAATAGCACTACAGATAAGATTAGAATTTCAACAACCTCTTCAGGAAGCAGGAAACCTCCTTAGGAAACAAAAGAACCTCCTCAGGAAAGCTCCTCCATTAGCATGTCCACAGCCTGGGGAACTCCTACAAGACAATGACTCAGCCCTACCCCACCTTCCTGAGTAGGTATACATTGACTGCCTACCATTTCCCTCTCACCTTGACACAGAGAGTACTCCATCTTTCTGTGTTATACCTCTGAGGATGCCAGTCACAGCTACTGGCGAAACGTCCGGCTCTACAATGCCAAGACCATGGGCCACACATCCCGGGAAATCTACAGCAACTAATGAACTCCGGCCATGAAAGCCTTCGACAACATATTGAATTTCGTTTTACTACTAAATCACACCCACTTAGGGCAACCCTGTAAGGTTTCCAAGGCAAGAAGCGTGCAGAGGTGGTTTTGCCCTTCCCTGCCTCTGCACAGCGACCCTGGGACTTCATGGGTGGTCTCCCATCCAAGGACTCACCAGGGCTGACCTCGCTTAGCTTCGGAGATCGGATGGGATCAGGCTAGCCTGGGCTATCCAGGTCAAGGTACACAAATGCTAAAGGCGACTTATTAAAGAATAAGTTTGTGTAAGGCAGTTTAAGGAACTGGGATGATCTTTAAGATGAGGCGGAGAATCAAAATTCAGTACAGTTCTGGTCACTGTTGTCGGGGTCCTTAGTCAGGTTACGCAACTCAGGGCTTCATGAGAAGATAACTATTGGTCAATCCAGGACTAGAGACACGTGTACAGCTTGTGTCAGGAATGGCCGCCAATACTAGGGCCTCTGACTTATACTAGAGTCAAACATCCTCCCGGTAAGCATGAGCCAATGGATACATCTCGCGCGCGCAGGCAAAGCAAGCAGGCAAAGCAAAAACCGTTAACTTTCCCAGCCAAGAAAACCTGCAGCTGGAGCATCTACAAGGTCAAGCATAAGACAGCAAACAGTAGGTGAGCCAGGGAGAGCTGAGACAGAAAACGGGAGGGCACCCTCCACATTCCAGACCTATGACAGGGCTACCTGACATCTGTTATCTCAAAAAGGAAATTGCAGAGCTGGAAAAAGTACAGAGGAGGGAAGCTAAGATGATTTAGGGGGTTGTGGCACCTTCCCTATGAGGAAAGGCTGAAAGAGTCTGGGACTTTTCAGTTTAGAAAAGAGACAACTAAGGGGAGACATGATAAGAGGTTTATAAAATTATGCACGGGGTGGAGAGAGCGGACAAAGAGAACTTTTTCTCCCTCTCCCAAAACACTAGAACTCAAGGGCAACCAATGAAGCTGATGGGCAGTAGGTTCAGGGTGGACACAAGGAAATACTACTTTACAAAGCGAGTGATTCAGATGTGGAATTCGCCGCCAGAGGATGTAGTGATGGCCACAGGAATAACAGCTTTAAAAGAGGATTAGATAGATTCATGGAGAATAAGTCTATCAATGGCCACATTCAAAGCCAGGAGGCAACACGAGGGGAAGGCTTCGACCTCTATGCCCTGTTGTTGGCTGTCCAGAGGAACTGGTTGGCTGCTGTGTGAGACAGGAGGCTGGACTATGCTCACCAAACTGACATGAGCTCACCAAACTGACATGAACATGACATGAACTGTCATGAAAGTGTGGGGAGGGAGGGACTTGTGAACTCAGGCAGATCACAAGAAGGGAGGGCAGGAAGGGTTGCACCACTGCTTAGTTCTCGTGGCCCTTTCTTACACACCCAGGGAAATGCTGATCGCCACTTTGGGATCAGGAAGCAATTTTTCTCCAGGCCAGTTTGGCTGGAGATCCTGGAGGTTTTTTTGCCATCTTCTGGGCATGGAACAGGGGTCACTGGGGGTTTGTGTGGGGAGGAAGTATTTGTGAATTTCCTGCATTGTGCAGGGGGTTGGACTAGATGACCCTGGAGATACCTTCCAACTCTATGATTCTCTCTCTCTCTCTGGTCTGGTTTTGCTGAAGCCAAGAGACTAGCCATTCTTCATCAAAAGCCCCCTGCAGAGTGAAGCAACATCCAGCACGTCCGCTGGCACCACAAGGGCTTGGGAGGAGGCCCAGTTCTCTCCCCTTTCATGGTGGCCATCAGAAAAGGAACAAGGTCGTCTTCTTGTTTCTTTCCAGTACTGGAGCCGAGCGTAAAAGGAGAGAGAGACCCTTCACTTCCCTTTGAGTCTCTTGCTGCATAAATAGGAATCGAATACAAAGAGTTTGGGGATGAAATTTGCACTCTCTGATTTTAAAAAAAAAATCAGCAGAACCTAATTCGCCAAGTAAATCTTAGGCTGCCTGTGGTTACAGACAGCTCTGCCAGCTGCTGAGTGAGATTCACAAAACGGTAAGACCATTAACTGGTTTGCTAATGAAAAAAGTCAAACATTTTCCTTATACTTGCCCTGCTTGGTCTGGCTGTGATTCCGTGATGTAGACGCTGAAACGTTTCTTTGCTTTGGCAGCATCTTCTAACACTTTCAGGACGACTTTTGAGTAAGCGTGTGTCAATATTCTCTGTGGAGGTAAGTCACGTCATTCCTCAGTTTATGGTCTCCGTACTTTTATGCAACTTGATTCTTTTAAAAAAATACTAGCCAAACACACCACTAGTCCCAATTTTAAAAAATGCCACTTATTTTTTTACTCAAGGAAGGCCTTGCCAGAATACGTGGGTTCTCTTTTCTGGGCCAGCCTCTCTTCATCACATCTTTAGACCTCTAACAGTTTTTAGAATCTGTGTGAATTGACTTAGCATGCTAAATAAGGCATCTGGCACCAATTTCTGTATTACTCAATATGATGACTGTGGTATTAAAAAAAAAAAAAGGCATTCTATCTCTTGATCCCACATAAGCCAGGTTGACTTACCCCGCCATCTTTGATAAAGGTACGACAAAGTTGGGCAATTTTGCTTCTGGAAAGAGAGATTCTCCGGAGAAAAAGTTCGCCTCGTTCAATCATGATCTCTTTACATTTGGAATAGTCCTGGGGAAAGGGGTAAAAACAAGATCTGGTAGACAAAGGTGGTTTCAGAAGAACAGAAATGAGACAGGATGAGTATGTCATGTAAGACTGCTGAGTGGTCGGGTTAGAACGGATAAAAGGAAGTACTTCTTCACCCAAAGAGTGATTCACACATGAATTCACTGCCACAGGAAGTGGTGGCAGCTACAAGCATGGATGGCTTCAAAAGGGAATTAGATAAGCATATGGAGCAGAAGTCCATCAGTGGCTATTAGCCACAAGGTATAGATAGGGGCTCTGGGGCAAGTGATGCTCTGTCATCTTGGTGCTTGGCGGGGGGGTCAACAGTGGGATGGCTTCTAATGTCCTGGCCCCACTGCTGGACCTCCTGATGGCACCTGGTATTTCTGGCCACTGTGTGACACAGAGTGTTGGGCTGGATGGGCCTTTGGCCTGATCCAACATTGGCGTCTCTTATGTTCTTATGTACTTAGTGTCTAAACAGTGGAGTTGGGATCAAGCCTGTGTAGGAGACGCATTCTCTGACCTGGAAGCCCCCCACCATTCACCCCAAAACGCAAGGTGTCTGGTGTATTTCATGTGGGCGGCCATGTCAGTCTGCAGCAGGAGAGCAAAATTAAAGCCCAGGAGCACCTTAGAGACCAGCACGATGTTTGGGGCCTGAACTTTTGAGTCAAAGCTCATTTTGTCAGACACCTAATATCCAATGAAGGGAGCTTCAGAAAGCTTATTCCCTGGAAAGCCTGTTGGTCTTTAAGGTGCTACAGGACTTCAAGTGTTGCTCTTGCTCGGATTACATTTTTTCTAGGGTAGGAGCTTTCATGAGTCAAACCTCACCTCTGGTATCTGATAAAGGGAGCTCAGATTCACAGAAGCTTATACCCTGGATTTTTGTTGTTGTTGGCCTTTAAGGTGGAGCTGCGGTGGCTCAAGTGGTTAAGACGCTGAACTGCAAGCTGTGGAAGGTCGGGGTGTATGCCTGTCTGTTGGTCCACTTAGGAGTCTTGATCCTGGTTGTGTGGTGGGCTAGTTGTGGCAAACGGTAGGGAAGCTCAGTATTTCTGTATACAGTTGTAGGGGCTTTATTGCAATGTGCTATGGCCTGATATTATGTTCTTATTCCAATGTGGGGTGTGTGGGGGGCAATGGAAGCTGAGTGATAGGGTCTCTCCAAGTGATTGCCAGAAGTAAGATGCGTCCTTCACCCAAAGAGTGATTAACACTTGGAATTCACTGCCACAGGAAGTGGTGGCAGCTACAAGCATGGACGGCTTCAAAAGGGAATTAGATAAGCATATGGAGCAGAGGTCCATCAGTGGCTATTAGCCACAAGGTATAGATAGGGACTCTGGGGCAAGTGATGCTCTGTCTTCTTGGTGCTTGGGGGGGTCAACAGTGGGAGGGCCTCTACTGTCCTGGCCCCACTGGTGGAGCTCCTGATGGCACTGGTATTTCTGGCCACTGTGTGATACAGAGTGTTGGACTGGATGGGCCTTTGGCCTGATCCAACATTGGCATCTCTTATGTTCTTATGTTCTTATGTCCTGGTCTTGGGTCTTACAGGTAATCTTACCAATAGTCCTTTGCATTTATATCATGCTTTCAACTTTAAAAGGATCATAATGCTGATTGTGTGAACTTAGGCAAATCACGAGAGGTAGAGTAAGAAGGGTTGCATAAGTGCTTAGTTCTTGTGGCCCTTTCTTACATGCCCAGGGAAATGCTGATCGCCACTTTGGGGCCAGGAAGCAATTTTTCTCCAGGCCAGTTTGGCCCCCAGTGATCCTGGAGGTTTTTTTTTTTTTAATCATATTCTGGGCGTAGAACAGGGGTCACTGGGGTGTGTGGGGGGTATTGGTGAATTTCCTGAATTGTGCAGGGGGTTGGACTAGATGACCCTGGAGGTCCCTTCCCACTCTATGAGTCTATGATTCTATAATTCACCCAGGCTGGCTGTGGGCACGCCAGCACCTCTGTCAGGCAGAAGCGCCTGAGATCCTCCCCCTCCCCTTTTCCTTCGCCCGACTTGGAGGTGAAGGGAAGGGAAAGGGGGGAAAGAATGGATCCCAGGTGCTTCTGCCTGTCAGAGGGGCTGGTGCACACTTCCGGTGATGTCAGGGGGTGTGGCATATGCTAATAAGTTATGCTAATGAGCTCCTGCAGCTCTTTTTCTACGAAATGACCCCTGGTTTTAAATATTGCTATATATTTACTCATGTATGTTTTTATCTACTTATGATGTGATCCACTCTGAGCCCGTTTGCGGGGACAGAGGAATATAAATCTAAATAAATAAAATAAATAAATATAATGAGAAAAGGACAACCACCATATATTCCTTAGAGGAAGGGTGGGATTAAAATGAGATCTGTGGGTATGAAAGGATTCCAGGGCTAAGTATTTAGAGCAAAAGGGATTAGCAGCATTGTGGTTCACAGTTTCCCTGGCCCTATTCAAAATTGCGAAAGTGGCAGCATTATAAGGGCGGCTGTGGAATTTCCCTCCCCTCTTTGACAGACAGCTGATTAAAACTCACTGGGTTCTCCAAGGAGGTGAGGCTGATGAATCTTAGAAAGAGTTCCCCTCCAGAAGAGACAGCCACTGAAGAATCAACACCAGAGAGGGTTTCTATTGCATTTTTGAGATTTGCTCTCAGGCCCTGAATTGTCTCACCTGACAAAGGCAGTTAGAAAGACATGTTAGAAAAGACCAGATCATCCAGTACACGACTGAATCCACCCTCACCTGCCCATCTCTTCCTCCACAGTTCAATTCATGCCACTCGGGATCACTTTCCTAATTACCTTTGTCTCTCTTTAAGAACTCTAGCAAGACACGGATGGCAGCCACAGCAGAGGCAACATCAGGATCCGTCCTCATCTGGGTTTTAAATGCTTCTACCAGCTCTGAGAAGAAGAGGGGTTGGGGGAGAAAGGATAAGAGAGAGTCTGTGAAGATCTACATAATTATTTTCCTGCCTCTTTCTGGGATTCTGCTTCTCTACCTGCCATCTAAAGCTTGGTGCAATGTACTCTGTATTATTAACATATGTACACTATAATTAATATCAAGGTCTTACAAGACACCAAGCTTTTAAAAGCAATAAAAAAGAAACATACAGCAGAATTTCAAAAAATATCTCTCTCCAGTTCTCATAAAGAAATCTGTGAAACTGTTCCAACCGTTCAGTGCAAAGCAACAGTCCTTTTCCATGAGGAATGTAAGATCCCATCAAGGTTATTTGCAGTCTGAAGAGGAGGAAGGCAGTTCTGTTTGCTAAAATGAAATTGGAGCAAGAGCATACGTTGGTGGGATCATTTCTCTAAAAAAAAGAAGAGAGAGAAAAAACTGATCCCCAAGCCCCTAAATCAACAAATCCAAAAGATCCCATTGGAATTACAATATCTGAGCTAAAGTTTGCAGTCCACACAACAAAATTTTCAGGGTTCCAGCTTTCGAGATCCAAAGCTTCCTCTGTCAGATATTTTGTTGCTCTCTAAGGTGCCGAACGCAAAGCTAGCTGTGTTCTCTTGCTGACCAACACAGCTACTCTCTGAAGCAAGTCTATACAAGTCACTGCAAGAGACACATCGGCACCTACCTAGTAAACAATGTATTATTTATTTTATTGAAGAATCGCCCACCCTGCAAACAGGCTCCGGGCGATTTACAACCTTACAGACATTTAAAATACAATGATCATATAACTAAAGTTTATCAATACTACAAGAATTAAAAAACGATCCCAAGATGGCCTTCGGTAAAACCTCCTTCGCCAGCCACACCGCAGTCCCACAAGGCAGGGAGCAATATTAAGCGTTTACATTCATGTAATAAATATCAGATTAAGGGAATAATAAGGGCAGGCCAAATCTGCCCTCACAGCAGCCGAGATGACTGACTTCTAGGCCGAAGAAGTGGGGCTCAGAGGCAGGCTGAGCCCTGACAACGCATTGAGCGGAAACTAAATCCTGCATGAGGGACCAGCTAAGGCCGCCCGTCACAGAGCAGAAGCCGGGGGTCGAGTTCCCAGGCGAGGAGCCGCTTCTCCCCTCACCTCTGTCGTTCATGGCGAGAAGAAGACGATGCAGCTCGAGCCCTCACCCTGCCGGCGTACCTCCGTCGGAACTCTTGACACAGCTCCACTCGACCTGGACGGAACCCTTTCCGGAGAGCACCCACTTCCGGTGAAGGCGCCTGAGGGGAAGCACAGAGATAGAAAAAGATTAGGTGTACTATCAACTTCCGGTATGGATTTGAAAGCCGTCCGGTCTAGGCAGTGGCCTCCTCGTAGTGAAGCCGAAGTGGCGACTTTGAGGGGATAAGAGTCAGTCAGAGACCGGAAATGTTATGACGTCTTGTTCTACCTCTGTGGGGGAGAATGGGAGACCGCCTGGAGATGACATAAACTGAACGCGCCGGGGCTGGTCCGTGACATCACTGGCGGGCGACGGCGCTCCGGGCTCGTGGGTGCAGCTGGGCACCATGAGTGGGGGTGAGTGCGTGGCCTTCCACTCCGAGGGCCAAATCGTGCCTCTTGCGGCCGCTCGCACATCGAGGGGTCATTCTGGCTCCCCCAGCTCTCCTAAGGAGCCCTTTAAAGAGTTATGGGCGGCGGCGGGGGGCGAAACGTTCCTCCGCCTCCCTGAGCCCCGGGATGGTGGCCTTGGACTCGTAGGGGCTGGCTCCCCCAGCTCTCCCGAGGGGCTCTTTAAAAAGTTATTTATTTATTTATACTTTAGATTTCTATACCGCTCCAAACCCCGAAGGGTCTCTGAGCGGTTTACACAGTTCCGAATCATCCCTAACTAAGGCCACATGTTTACAGGGGTCGGGGCTACCTACCGGCACCCAGGTGGCAGGGCTCGCTGTTCTCGGCTGCTGTTGGCGCAGCTGCAGCGGCCGTGGGGGGGGGGAGGGGGCAAAACGTCCCCGCCTCCCTGAGCCCTGGGGTGGTGGCCTTGGACTCGTAGGGGCAAATTCCACCTCTCGCGTGTTGCCGCTTGGACATCACACGCGAGAGGTCATTCTGGCTCCCCCAGCTCTCGTGAGGGGCTCTTTAAAAAGTTATGGCCACGCCGCTGTCGGCGGCAGCTGCAGCGGCTGGGTGTGTGTGTGAAATGTTCCCCCGCCTCCCTGAGCCCTAGGGTGGTGGCCTTCCAATCCTAGGGGCAAATGTATAGAAGCTACACTTTTATCGCTTCATTCTGATATGTTGTATATTTTTGGAATACTAATAAAAATCTATTTAAAGAAGAAGAAAAGACACCGCTCCCACGAGTCTGCAGTCGGAGCCCTTTCCCTGCTGACCAGAGAATCCTCTACCCCTTTTAGCGGTGTGGATTTCTGTCCCCCCGTGGGTCGCACCCTCCCTCACCGGTTTCCCCCTCCTCCCGTTTGCCTCCCTCAAAAAAAAAACATGAAAGGTCATCATATGTAAACTATGATGTTTACTTTAAGTGTACTGCCTCCTACTACCCACCACCTGTCAGCAATCTGCAAGGTACCTTTAATTGCACTCTGGTAGCGATCACCCGAAAGAGACTCCGGGGATCCATTAGAAACATAGCAGCATATTTTGAGCTTGAATGTTAACAGAGATCAGCGTCCTATCCGAATTTAATATTTCTTAAGACTTCTTGTCTAGCACTTAAGAAACAGAGCTTTTGCACCATTATAATATCTCCTGAAGAAGATCCATTTTTTGAAACGTTGTTATATAATCCGGAGACGACGTTGATTATGTGCCTTGGTTCAAGGATTTTCTTATGATTTGTTTATCATGTTGTAGTGCTTCAGATTGTAATACATAGATAGCATTCTTTATAAGTCTTAATGACGGTTTGATTTGTGGGTCAGACTATCACGACTGTTGGCTTTATGCTTGTTTACTGATCGGGTCATGTTTGTCCAAATTTATCTTATACTGATTGAGACCATTGGTCCATCAGGGTCAGTACTGTCCACTCAGAATGGCAGCAGCTGTCCAGGGTCTCAGGCCTTTCCCATCACCTATCGCCTGGTTCTTTTAACTGGAGATGCCGGCGACTGAACGTGAGGCCTTCTGCATGGCAAACAGCAGCTTTATCACTGCACCATGGCCTCGTGGCCCCCATAGAATCTCAAAGAGGTGTCTAGATTATTTTTGATATGTTTGGATTTGTTTTATGATACTGTTTTCAGCCAAATGTGACTCCTAAGAGTATACCTGTGTCCAATGCTCCCTCTAAGCTGTGGAGTCCTGTGAGCACAAATTCTACTTTATGAACTACTGGCATTAAAGTTGTGAGCGAGCGATTTGGCTGCTGCATAAATTAGTTTGCTCTGGAGCCCTCCTTCCTGAGCTAAGACAAAAATGTGTGAGCCGGAGGCTAAAAAACAGTGAGCTAGCTCACACAAACTCAGCTTAAAGGGAACACTGCCTGTGTCCCCTTGAAGATAGTGTTGGAAACAGCCTTGGTGAATGTGCCTTTGTTCGGATTAGATTGGTGATATTCACTCCATGGCTCATGAAGAGCCACAATGACACCGATTCTCGACTAGCAGAGCCACTTGTCTACTGTATGCTCTGTGTGCCACCCGAAGCACACACATACAAGAATAGAAGCTATAGCTGTGTGTACATAAAATGCTGTTGAGTCAAAGCTGACTTATGGCAACCCTGTAGGGCAGGGGTGTCAAACATGGCCGGATCAGGCCCCCAGAGGGCTTTTATCAGGCCCGCAATGGACTGGCTGTCTCCTGCTTCTTCCTCCAGTGCTGCTGCTGCTGTGTCATAGCTTGCTTTCCCAGACTCTCTCAATCGCTCTGGAGAGATAGATAGGCAAGCTTCTGCTCCCTGCACTGGACTGAGGCTCCTCCCCTCCCAGATTGCTACAGCACAGATGTTTTGATGCAATAATTCTGAGCAAGAGGTGTCAGTTATCAGAGACTGTTAAATAAACAAAATATTGCGAGAGTTCTAATGTTTCAAGCATGTTTTTTTTTAAGTTTAAAAAAAAATCTTTGTGTTTGTGTCCTTTATAAAGTTTTTATCTCCGCTACCGGGCATTACATTTTATGACACATGTGGCCCGGCCCAACAAGGTCTCATTTATGTCAATTCATGCCCTCCATAACAAATGCGTTCGACACCCCTGCTGCAGGGTTTCCAAGGCAAGAGATGAACAGAGGTAGTTCGCCGTTGCATGCCTCTGCATAGCAACCCTGGACTTCCTCGGTGTTCTCCCATCCAAATACTAACAGGGATGACCCTGCTTATCTCCCGAGTTCTGACCGAGATGGGGCTACCCAGGGCCACACAGGTCAGGACCTGAGATACAACTATTAATATCGACTATATAATTTTACTTTTAATAACCGGATCGCTTCTGAACG